TTTTGCTTTTGTTGCCCAGGCTGGAATGCAATGGCACGATATTGGCGCACCGCAACCTCCGCCTCCTGGGTTCAAGCAATTCTCCTGCCTCAGCCTCCCAAGTAGCTTGGATTATAGGCATGCACCACCACGCCCAGCTAATTTTGGTATTTTTAGCAGAGACAGGGTTTCGCCATGTTGGTCAGGCTGGTCTTGAACTCCCAACCTCAGGTGATTCGCCCACCTCAGCCTCACAAAGTGCTGGGATTACAGGCATGAGCCACTGTGCTTGGCCTTGCATGTCTTCTTTCAAAAAGTGTCTGTTCATGTCATTTGCCCACTTTTTAATGGTGTTATTTGATTTTTAGTTGTTAATTTAATTTCTCTATAGATTCTGAATATTAGGGCTTTGTCAGATACATAGTTTGCGAATATCTTCTCTTATTCTGTCAGTTGTCTGTTTGCTCTGCTGATTGTTTCTTTGCTGTGCAGAAGCTCTTTAGTTTAATAAGGTCCCACTTGTCTAATTTTGGTTTTGTTGTAATTGTTTTTAGATTCTTAGCCAAAACTTCTTTGCCAAGGCCAATGTCGAAAAGAGTATTTCCTAGGTTTTCTTCCAGGATTTCTATAGTTTGAGACCTTACATTAAAATCTTTAATCCATTTTTAGTTAATTTTTGCATATGGAGAAAGGTAGGGTTCTAGCTTCAAACTTCTGCATATGGCTAGCCAGTTATCTCAGCACAATTTACTGAATATGGAATTGTTTACCCATTGCTCGTTTTGGTTGGCCTTGTCAAAGATCAGATGGTTGTAAATGTGCAGCTTTATTTCTGAGTTCTCTATTCTGTTTCATTGGTCTATATATCTGTTTTTGTACCAGGACCAAGCTGTTTTTATTTCTTGTTTTTTTTTTTTGTTTGTTTGTTTGTTTTATTTTTTGAGACTACGTCTCACTCTGTTACCCAGGCTGGAATGCAATGGCATGATCTCAGCTCACCGCAACCTCTGCTCTCTGGATTCAAGTGATTCTCCTGCCTCAGCCTCCCCAGTAGCTGGAATTACAGGTGCCTGCCACCATGCCTGGCTTATTTTTGTATTTTTTACAAAAATATTGTATTTTGTATATTTAGAGATGGGTTTTCACCATGTTGGCTAGGCTGGTCTCAAACTCCTGACCTCAGGTCATCTGCCCACCTCAGCCTCCCAAAGTGCTGGTATTACAGGTGTTAGCCGTTGCACCTGGCCACCCAAGCTGTTTTGTTTACTGTGCCTTTATAGTATAGTTTGAAGTTGGGTAGTGTGATGCCTCCATCTTTGTTCTTTTTGCTTCGAATTGCTTTGGTTATTTGGGCTCTTTTTTGGTTCCATATGAATTTTAGAATAGTTTTTTTTTTTTTTTCTAATTCTGTGAAGAATGCCATTAACAGTTTGATAGGAATAGCATTGAATCTGTAAATTGCTTTGAGCAGTATGGCCATTTTTATGATATTGATTCTCCCAATCCATGAACATGGACTGTTTTACCATTTATTTGTGTCATTTCTGATTTTTTTTAGCAGTGTTTTGTAGTTCTCCTTGTAGAGACTTTTCACCTCCTTGGTTTGGTGTGTTTTTAGGTATTTCATTTTCTTTGTGGCTTTTGTCTGTGGGATTGTGTTCTTTATTTTTATTTTTGTTTAATTTTTCATTTCCATAGGTTATTGTGGAACAGGTGGTGTTTGGTTACATGAGTAAGTTCCTTAGTGGTGATTTGTGAGATTTTGGGGACTGTGTTCTTGATTACACTCTCAGTCTGGATGTTGTTGATGTGTAGAAATGGTACTGATTTCTGTACATTAACCTTGTGTCTTGCAACTTTACTTGTTTATCATTTCTAGGAGCCTTTTGGCAACATCTTTAAAATTTTCTAAATATGGATTCATATCATCAAGGAAGAGAGGGACATTGTGTGACTTCTTTTCATACGTGGATACTTTTTATTTCTTTCTCTTGCCTGATTGCTCTGGCTAGGACTTCCAGTACTATGTTAAACAGGAGTGGTGAGAGAGGGCATCCTTGTCTTGTTGTGGTTCTCAAGGTGAATGGTTCCCAATTTTGCCCATTAGATATGATGTTTACTGTGGGTTTGTCATAGAAAGCTCTTATTATTTTGACGTATTTTTTTGATGTCTAGTCTGTTGAGGGGTTTTTATCATGAAGGAATATTGGAACTTATCAAAAGCTTTCCCTGTGACTATTGATACTTTGTAAGAGATTTACTTCTTTCCATATATAAATATTTAAGTTCTCTTTCATGTCTGTGGTGTCCTTTAAAATTCATAAGGATGTATACCAGTACAGTTATTTTGAATAATCTAATTTTGCATTTGATAGGCCCTTTTAATACAAATATTCATGTTCTTCAGTTCCAGAAAAAAACTTTTCTATTTCTTCTATTATTTCTTTAAAATATCCTTTTTCATTTTCCTTTTTTTTTTTTTTTGATACAGAGTCTTGCTCTGTTGCCCAGGCTGGAGTGCAATGGTGTCATCTGGGATTACAGGCACCCACCATGATGCCTGGCTAAGTTTTGTGTTTTTGTAGAGACGGGTTTCACTATGTTGGCTAGGCTGGTCTTCAACTCCTAACCTCAGGTGATCTGCCCACCTCAGCCTCCCAAACTGCTGAGATTACAAGCTTGAGCCACTGCACTTGGCCTATTCTTTCCCATTTTCTCTGCTCTTTTTTTCTTTTGGACTCCTGTGGGCTGTTGGACTTCCTGAATTGATTCTTCATGTCTCTTATCTTTTTTTCTCACTCAACACTGAGACAGTTCCACTACACTTTGCTGGAAACTCAATTTCTCACTCTAAACAATTTCACCCTTCCCTTCTTTCCTCAAATTTCCTACACTCACTCCTCTTTCTCCGCCTGATTACTATCATCTAATGACTTCAATTCATGACTTAGAAGAGAAAATAGATACAGGAAGTGTATTAAGGCACATTACTGGGATTAACACATGCAGAAGAGTAGGGAAGAGAAAGAAGAAGGCTTCGTGACAGAAGCCTCGAGCAACCTTACAAGAAGGTCCGAAGATTAGATAATTTACCAGAGTGGTCCCCATTTGGGACCAGGGAGCTGGCCCTTGATACCCCAAGTTGTTCAGTCATTTAATGTGGGATGCCTTTGGAAGGGGCTACGACCTTGGGCTAGGTAGCTCTTTTCAGCTGAGGCAATCCCTGAATAAGGCTGACAGACAAAGACTTATCTGGTCGCATTCTCAACATATGGGGTAATAAGTCCTTCATTCCTGAAGGAGGATCTGAAGGGCATTGTACAGTGTCTACCACACCAACTACCTGAACCTGTCAGTGTTGTGCTGATATTGGCTCAGAGCAGCTGGTGAGGGCCAACTCTGCACTTCCCTTCCCAGCTTTGCATTCAGTGACATTGTGTTCGTAGCTTCAAATGGACTCTTCTGTGGAAGTTTTAAAGTTTCCTCAATCTTTTTCAGGTCTAAAAGCTCTCTTTCTTTTTCTCCAATTGTTCTTAGTTCACAGTATTCTGTTATTGTTTATGTTATAATAATGATTTGAATCTTTCAGTGTGTAACCAATTAGCATTGTTTTTAAAATTCACTATTCCCTGAACTATGTCTATTTCTTTCAAATATTTTTTCCATTTATCATTCCGTCCATATATCATCGCTTCAACTGTTAAAGGACCAGGCGCTGTTAGATGATGGTGACACAATAGTGAACAAGACACAAAAAGATCCTTTTTCAGTTCATAAGCATGATGATTGGGTTTTAATGTGCATATGTGAGATGTGCCTCCCTCAAAACTTGTTACAACATTGGCACATTTCCTGTCTGACATGAAAGGAAAAAACACACAAGAGGTTCCTGTTGTGGAGACTCTTTTTTGGTCAGAGAAGAAACTAGTAATTATACAAATTAAAATATTATTTAAAGAAGTTGTCATTGCTATGAATGAATGAAATTCAGTGGATGGAGCATATGGGGGATGTCTGCTTTAAGGAGTGATCCAGGACCCTGTCTCTGCTCTGATAGTACTTGAACAGAGACCTGAATACAATCTGGATATTAGGCCAGGTAAACCATTGCAGTTGGAGGCAGCCTCAAGGGTGATGGGCTCTGAGAAATGAACAAGGACTCTGTGTTCCAGGAACACTAAGAAGGCTAGTGTGGCTGGAGCAAACTGTACAAGGTTAAGTTTGACAAAGTAGGCAGGACCCAGATCATTTTCACTGTTTGTCTTAGTCTCCTTTTGCATGTGGTGACTTGTGTCTGTTGGGGTTCTACCCAAGAAACAAGAACTAGTAAAATTTGTATATTTATGTGTGTGCTTTACATTTATGTATTATATACATACATTATACACATGCATGTATAATCTAATTGACAGAGTGAGACACACAGAGGCAGAGAGAGAGACAGAGAGAGGGTGTTTGTGTAGTAGGTAGGTGGTTATTTTAAGAAACTGATTTTCAGGATCATGGAGTCCTGGCTAGGCAAATTTGAAATATATAAAGCAGGCCAGTAGCCTGGAAATTCTCAGGCAGGAGTTGATACTTGATTAATTATAGCCTAGCCAAGTTGACACATAAAAGTAACCATCACAGTGACTTACCTCAAACACTTGGTGATCATAGCCTGCCTGTTCATACTTAAAGGTGAAATTCAGAAAAACTGATGAGGGAGTTTATAGGAGAGGATTGCCAACTGGAAATCATTCCTTTAGGGTGAGCAAGAGGAGGTATATAATCTTATAATGGGAAACCCCTAAATACCAGATTGAGAAGCTTTTCCCTCCAGAGGGTCTTCAGTTTCCCCAGAGAAGTCTCTACTCCCTTGCGAGGAGGAGATGTGCTATGTGTGGGTGCAGTTCTTCTATAATGGGTGGGATCTGGGGAGGCAGGAAGGACTTTTCCCACATTAGAGTCTTTTAATGAATGTCACTGTTTTTAGGCATGAGCCTCACTCCTACCCTTCACAGCACCTGGTGTCTCCAAATCGCAAGGCTTCCCTTTGGTCCATATTCCTTTCTGTGAACCTATCTCCCACCTCACCCTAAGCTGGTGTTCCCTCAACATTTACTCATTTACTCATGACTTTACTTTTGACCTCCCCAAAATAGTGGAAATAGTGTGTTTCATCTGCTATTTCAAACTACACAGACTAGTTATTGCATGAAACAGCCTTAAACATTGAGGGGAAGGCAAGGGAGTGTCTTTCTTTGCATCCTGAAGAACCACAGTGGCCTGGGAGGGGTCTGCAATAGCAACAGCCACAGAGCCAGTGACTGAGATTTAGCCCAAATGCTATAGACCTCTGGGTTTCAACTGACCCCCCAAGGCTCATGGATCCATGGCTTGGTCTGAATATCGGTAGTGGTAGTGATACTCTCCTCCAGCTAGAAGGATATTTCAAGTTGATGGTGAAACTCTCCTCCACCTACAAGGGTATTTCAAATCATGCCAAAATATCAGTATTCTGTTAAAATGGAGATACAGTTATCGTCTTCTTCCCAATATTATAATGTGCCATTCCTTTCAGGGGAGGCTCAGATGAGTCTGTTCTGTCCTTCTGGCTTGAGTGCCTCCAGATAGGATGATTGAGAATGAAGATTCTGGGTAGAACAAACTGTCAAAGGAGCAGTAGGCTCTCCTAAGAAAAGAAATCTGGATTGGATAGAAAAGGAGGAAGGAAGCAGAAGGAACCTAAACCAGATAAAAGGAAGTGGTCAGGTTAAAGGGAAAACATTGGAAATTGGGGCTAAGAATCTCCCAGCACCTATTCCTCTCCTCTCATCATTTCCCATTACATGCCCCCTTTTTAACGCCCACACCATATTCTAAGTTTACTCCATCAGAGACCTCTGGAAGCAGACTAAGGACACAATCAGACTCTGAGAGAACAGACAAATGGCTAGGAAACAGAAAAAGATGCTTGACCACACAAGTAACCCAGAACTAGCCATTTCAACAACAAAAAGAAGCCTTGGAAAGTTTGTCCTGAGAATACTTCCAAAATGAGTGTATCTCTAGCTTGAAATTTTAATACAGAATATTCTCTGTGCATATCCCAAGATGAGATTTCAAATAAAAATGACAGTGTTCTTAGGAGAAAAAATATTTTTTTATTTAAAAAATATCAGGGTATCAATATTCTGTATTTAAAAAACATAGTATCAACTGATGAATGCATAAACAAAATGTGGTCTAGCCATACAAGGAAGTATTATTCAGCCTTAAAAAGGAATGAAATACTGATACAGGCTACAGCAAGGTTAAACCTGCAGAACATGCTGAGAAAAATAATCCAAATACAAAAGCTACATATTGCAGGATTCCATTTATGTGAAATGTCTAGACTATGTAGATCCATTGAGACATAAAATAGATTAGTGGATTCCTAGGGCTGGTGGTGATGTGGGGGTTTAGGAAGTGACACGTAAAGGGTACAGGTTTCTTTTAGGGATGATGAGGCATTGTAAAATTAAATTGTTATGGTTATACATCTCCGTGAATATGTTAAAACCATTGAATGGGCTGGGTGCAGTGACTCACGCTTGTAATCCCAGCACTTTGGGAGGCCAAGGCAGGTGTATCACCTGAGGTCAGGAGTTCGAGACCAGCCTGGCCAACATGGTGAAACCCTGTTTCTACGAAAAATACAAAAATTAGCTGGGTGCAGTGGCACGCGCCTGTCGTCCCAGCTACTCAGGAGGCTGAGGCAGGAGAATCACTTGAACTGGGGAGGCAGAGGTTGCAGTGAGCTGAGATTGTGCCACTGCACTCCAGCCTGGGTGACAGAGTGAGACTCCATTCCGCCCCTCCCCCAAAAACCCATTAAATTGTAAACTTTAAATGGGAGAATTGTATGGGATGTACATTCTATCTCAATATATGGTATTCTGGAATATATGGTATTCTAGAATATTGGAATCCTTAAAATTGATATAGTAATTGCTAAGAGGTGAATCTCTTTATGAATTGGGAGACTAGACTTTATAGCTTTATAAGAACTAAGATTCCTTTAAGACAGAGAAAGACTGAGAATTATAGAATTTTGGTCTGGCGTAATGTTATCATGCTGCAGATCTGCAAAATTATAATTCATTGGTATGGTCGTTTTCCCTTCAGAAATGCTAAGATTAGAGTCAGTCAACATATAGTCTAGTTCTAGTTATACTTTGGACTATCCAGTGCAAACTTGGGTAACTCAGCTCCTTAAAACCTTGGTTTCCTCACCTGGCGAGTGGGAATAAATAAACTGGATCTTCCTTGTATGTGTTTTGGGAGGATCAAATGAGATGACAGATGAAAAAGTGCTTGCCTACCATTGACTTTCTTCACATAATTAGAAAAAACTACTTTAAATTTCATATGGAACCACAAAAGAGCTTGCATAGCCAAGACAATCCTAAGCAAAAAGAACAAAGCTGGAGGCATCGCTCTACCTGACTTCAAACTATACTACAGGCTACAGTAACCAAAACAACATGGTATTGGTATCAAAACAGATATATAGACCAATAGAACAGAACAGAGGCCTCAGAAGTAACTCCACACTTCTACAACCATCTGATTTTTGACAAACTTGACACAAAAACAAGCAATGGGGAAAGGATTCCCTATTTAATAAATGGTGTTGGGACAACTGGCTAGCCATATTCAGAAAGCTGAAACTGGACCCCTTCCTTACACCTTATACAAAAATTAATTCATGATAGATTAAGAATTTAAACATAAAACCTAAAACCATAAAAACCCTAGAAGAAAACCTAGGCAATACCATTCTGGCCATAGGCATGGGAAAAGACTTCATGGTGAAAAGACCAAAAGCAATGGCAACAAAAACCAAAATTGACAAGTGGGATCTACTTAAACTAAAGAACTTCTGTACAGTGGAAGAAACTGTCATCAGGGTAAACAGGCAACCTAGAGAATGTGAGAAAATTTTTGCTATCTACCCATCTGACAAAGGGCTAATATCCAGAATCTACAAGGAACTTAAACAAATTTACAAGAAAAAAACAAACAACCCCATCAAAAAGTGGGCAAAGGATATGAACACACACGTCTCAAAAAAAGACATTTATGTGGCCAACAAACGTATAAGAAAAATCTGGTCGTTAGAGAAATGCAAATCAAAACCACAAGGAGATACTATCTGATACCAGTTAGAATGGTGATCATTAAAAAGTCAGGAAACAACAGATGCTGGAGAGGATATGGAGAAATAGAATTGCTTTTACACTGTTGGTGGGAGTGTAAATTAGTTCAACCATTATGGAAGACAGTGTGATGATTCCTCAAGGATCTAGAACTAGAAATACCATTCGACCCAGCAATCTAATTACTGAGTATATACCAAAGGATTATAAATCATTCTACCATAAAAACACATGCACATGTATGTTTACTGTAGCACTATTCACTAGCAAAGACTTGGAACCAACCCAAATGCCCATCAATGATAGACTGGATAAAAAAAATGTTGCACATGTACGCCATGGAATATTATGCAGCCATAAAAAAGGATGAGTTCATGTCCTTTGCAGGGACATGGATGCGTTTGGAAACCATTTTCAGCAAACTAACACAGGAACAGAAAACCAAACACTGCATGTTCTCACTCATAAGTGAGAGTTGAACACTTATGTTCTCATAAGTGAGAACACATGGATGCAGGGAGGGGAACATCACACACCAGGGCCTATTAGGGGGTCAGGGGCTAGGGGAGGGATAGCATTAGGAGAAATACCTAATGTAGACAGGCTGATAGAGGCAGCAAACCACCATGGCATGTGTACACCTATGTAACAAACCTGCACGTTCTGCATATGTATC